GTGTACTCATATATGAATACATACATATGTACACCATAGATGCTAGCAAATATATTCAAACATTCCAACACAGCGTCAAAAATGCGCTTCGTTTGATATAAAGTGGTTATTAGAGTGGGTAAATTTGGGTCTCAAACAGCGTCGGAAAAGGTGTTAAATGCAGGTTTGCGCTGGTTTTCGTTCGCTTGGAAAAATTCTTTACGGCTCTTAGGTAATGTTGGCTCTCGTTCGATTGTAAATAGGTACACAGGGGGCTATAGTATGTACTGGTTATTACAAAAAAGCATGAAGTATAAAAAAAAATATTCTTGAGAAAATAGCCGAAGTATCGACGGCTGATTCGACTGTTTACTGAAGACCTCCTTCTACTGAAAACATCAATTCAGCGCTTATAAAAAGCTATTCTGAACACTTACTAGACGCTCGATTTTGAAAATATTGGCTGAAAACACAATTCAGCGCGGATTTCACACAATTCAACGCGTTTAAACTGATCAAGAAAAACTTTGAGATATCAAATAATTTACCTGTTAATAATATACTATGTACATGCACAGATATTTAAATTAAAGTTATTGATTTGCTTATTTTCTTAATTCACTGGTTATAAATAGTTTTTCTGATGGCTTATGAGGCGTTCTGCTTTTATTCTACAGGCTGGAAATGTAATTCAGCGTGGATTTCACTGAATTCAGCGCGTTGGTGCTCACATCAATTTTGGGTAGTGGAAAATGCAGCTCTTATTAATGCAGACATTTAGTACTACAAAAATATATACATAGACACTTATATCATTTAAGTTAATATTTTTTCAAATCCAATTCAGCATAAAAAATTTCTTTCAATCGCTTAACAAAGTCTGCGAAATTTTATTTGCATCTGAGATGATCTCAAAGCTTTATTTGCTTGCAAGATATGAAGCGAATATAAAAAAAAAAAAAAACAATCAAGTCAATTCAGCGTATTTCGGTCGACTTAAAGTCATTTTAATTTACTAAATTTACCATCATCCTTTTATAAATAATATTTAGCATTCATTTATCTTCTGAATCTGTAATGCTACTCACGAAATTATTTTTCCTTATTTAAAATCAATTCAGCACAAGTGGTTATTTGATTCCTACACAAAACTGCCTAAAAAAAATTGAAGAATAACTTTAATATTTTTAATATATTTATATAATATTTAATGCCTGAGATATTGGCACTTTTTAACACAATTCACCACAAAAGAACTACCTTCAGCCAAATATAAAATGGAAAAAATATTATATTAATGCAGAGCAAGTGTAATTCAGCTCACTTTTTAATTTATAGCTGCTGGAAATTTTCAAATGCTCAAAAACTACAACGCTTTTATTATAATTATTATATTGTATATTTTTTTCGTTTAAAAAATCACAAAAATTAAATGTTACTTAAAAGTACGGTAATTCAGCTAACTTTCATGTCTTCATGTATAAAAATTACAATTTAAAGCACTTTTTATTTTCGCCGAAACTGAGGATAGCTTAAAAAATGCATTGAAAATCTTTCTAAGAAACTTTTAATATTTATTTAAGTCAAAAATTCTCGAATGCACCAGGTGTTAGTTCCTATAAACCTAGCGGGGCACCCTAATGTCAGTAAGTTAAAGCTCCCAAAAATTTATAAAACTTTTGCTAAGGAAGTACGTACTATGCATTTCGGTTTGAATCCAATTTCGAATCTTTTTTCTACCACTTACCCACTAGATCTCAGTTCTTATTTCATTATAACCTGCCCCTAGTTGCCCAAACAAACTTTTCCGAAATTGCCTTGGGGAAATTCTTTAGACTTAGGGATGTAAGCCGATTTTGTTTTGTGTGAAAAGTACGATGCCAGAGTATCGCTTTGTAAGCTGAATTGAAATGAGCATGAAAAAATAATTAGAAAAGCCAAAAAAAACATTTCTATGCATTAGTTGAACTAACATTAAGGTGGCCCTTAAAAAATCAAATTAACGATTTTTTTCAGTCTCACCCCCTCAATTGGTAATACCACGGTCACACATATCACTAGTGTTGCTTCGATACAAATAACTACGGGTAAATACTGGATACTTTCTTTAAGTACTGAGTACTTTTTGTACTCGAATCCCTCCCGCAAGAACTTAGGTGGGTATCGAAGGCACCCTGAAATTGTGCATATGGAAACTGTGCATACGAAATAATGCATATGAAAAAAACCGAAATAATGCATACGAAAAAAACCGAAATAATGCATATATGCACAGTTTCGGTTGAAAACCGAAATAATGCATATGAAAAAAACCGAAATAATGCATATATGCACAGTTCCGGTTGAAAACCGCAATAATGCATATTAGAAAAACCGAAATTATGCATATGCACTCTTTCGTTTGAAAACCGAAATAATGCATATGAAAAAAACCGAAATAATGCATATATGCACAGTTTCGGTTGAAAACCGAAATAATGCATATGAAAAACCCGAAATAATGCATACATGCACACTTTCGTTTGAAAACCGAAATAACGCATATGAGAAAAACGAAGTAATGCATACATGCACAGTGTCGGTTCAAAACCGAAATAATGCATATGACAAAAACCGAAGTAATGCATACATGCACAGTTTCGACTCAAAACCGAAGTAATGCATATGACAAAAACCGAAATAGTGCATACATGAAAACGAACTTCTCTCTGAGTAGGCGGCCTTCGGCCGCGCTTAGGGATTATAACCCTTACTAAGTAGAATTCTCCTTTCTGTGTTGCCGGAA